CTTAAGGAAGGTGAGGTCTGAGGGAGGAAAGCTGTATGTGTACTTTTCCTCTTACTTCATTGACTAGATTCACTTCATGATTTTGTAGATGAAATATAAGTTCTGGGCAACAAAGGGGCTTGCCCAAATGGGCAGAGCCCAGGAGTGGCACAGGCAAAGCCAGAAGAGCAGCCATAGACTCCTCACTAAATCTTCCTCCAGTACAGCACAGCTGAGTGGTTTCTATAGATGCATTAAAGACAGATGCGCTAGGAAGTGAGGTCTGTGTTTCTCCTGTGCCTAAGACTGGGGTCATGTAGTATACAAGAAGGTGTAAACCCTGTAAGTCATTAATCATCTTAGAGTTGTTTTTTTCTTCATTTTTTCTTTTTGGAGATAAGTTACTCAGCAGATTTACTGAAGGATAGTAATTAGTGATAGGGAGTTGATACTGAGTCCTAGTGCTTTAGATCCACATCCTTTATGCCCTCACTAGAGGGCAGGAGACTGGGCCAAGAGCGAACCTACAGGTTAGGAAAATAGCTCCACAGGGCTCAAGGACAGTAACCTGGCAGACTCTGACAGAACTTTGGAAAGAGGAAAATACCGTGATGAAAAATTGTAGGACACGGTGAAGAAATTAAGCCAGCACAGTGTAGGCGTTTGTCTCTGTGACTGTGATACTCAAGAGTATCAATTCGTGTGGGAAGGTTCATTTTGGTTCACAAGTTCAGGTCACTGTTGGTTGACTCTATTTTGGGGGGCCTGTTCTTAGACCTCACATGGTAGGGAATATGTGGTGTAGCACTTAATTACTTTGTGGTGACTGGGAATCCGAAGGGAGTGGAAGTGACCAGGGTCCCAATAGTCCCTCTGAGGGCATACTCCTAGCTGCCTATCTTCCTCCCCCTAGAGCTTACTTCCCAAGGGTCTGCCCTTCCCTCAGTAGCATCATAAGCTGGAGACCATAGTGAGGAAGAGACTTAAGCCTATTTTTCTTTCTTTCTTTTTCTTACTTTGTGGTGACTGGGAATCCGAAGGGAGTGGAAGTGACCAGGGTCCCAATAGTCCCTCTGAGGGCATACTCCTAGCTGCCTATCTTCCTCCCCCTAGAGCTTACTTCCCAAGGGTCTGCCCTTCCCTCAGTAGCATCATAAGCTGGAGACCATAGTGAGGAAGAGACTTAAGCCTATTTTTCTTTCTTTCTTTTTCTTTTTTTTTTTTTTTACAGAACAGAGCCTCTCAATAAATAAACATGCCATCCCTTATGACCTTATGATACCTT